GCGCCGCCTACGGCGTTAAGCCGATCCTCGACCAATCTTGCTTTTGTTTTGGCAACTAACACATAACTGATCAAGAAATAATATTTACTGATCAACTCAATATGAATTGCTCGAAGGACTATTACTTAACATAATAGCTAAACATGCACGGCCCGTGATACGCGCTACGTGCGCGACCACGCCCTTTGACCGATTATTCGATAAATCATGAAACTCTCGACTAACTTGACTTGATTGCACATAAAATAGCATATACTGACTGAATATTAAAATTGCTCGAGGGATATCGAATTAAAACGAACATGTTCCACACGATTGAAATAGTACGACGAAGAGCTACTTAAGGCCAATTCTTTAACTTGATTATCATGATGTGGCCTGAACATGATGCTACTAATTTAGGAAAGAGAGATCCCAAGTGATTACCTCTCCGCTTGCTCGCCCGGTCGCACAAATGCTCGTGATCACTCGGAGCTCGGTGCTTCCGTGCGTAGCTTGCGACTAGCCTTTGCGTGGGTGCTCTCTCTCAATTTAGGAAACTTTCTTAATCTCACTATACTTACTAATATGCAAATGAAGAAGGCTGAATTTCCCCCAAGTCTCCTACTTATATGGTGGCCGAAAGATGGAGAGGTGGAGAGCTTGTGGCTTCATGGTCTTGTGCCACTTGTCAACACTAGAAGCACTTATGTGCTAACTCATCCCCTAAACTAACTTAGTCATCCATTTAGTAGCTTAGTCATGATATTAGGTGTTAGAATTAGGACACCTCATGCTTAATAAAACAACAATTCTCCCCATAATTTTATCAAAACTGCTACAACAATTAATAATTGCAAGCATGATTAATCTTAATTAAGCATAATTTATATGCTTAATTAATTAACTAAACATGATACTTAATTACTAAAATTATTCCGAACGAAAACGGGACTTCGAAAATAATCTCGGATAATCTCGACTGAAATAATTAATTCCGAAAAATAATAATCGACAATATTATTATATCGGAACTAAACACATGATTTATATTATTAACATGACGGGATATTACAATCCTCCCTCCTTAAAAATTTCCGTCCTCGGAATTCAAAATGAAACTGTATATACATGAACATAAGAAAATTTATACATCAAAACTGAAAATCGAGAAAACGAGCGCGAATATCAGCCTCCTGCTCCCAAGTGGCTCCGTGGCGATCCAACTGAATACGAACGAGGGGAACATCTCGCTTTCGGAGCCGACTAACCTGACAGTCCAGTACAGCTACTGGTCGCTCCTCGTAAGATAAGTCTGGCTGAATTTGAATGTCTGTATGAGGAATGACATGATCGGGGTCGCACACGTACTTACGTAACATGGATGTGTGAAAAACGTTATGAACGCTGGATAACTAGGGAGGTAAGGCTAATCGGTACGCGACTTCGCCCACTCGCTCGAGAACTTCGAACGGGCCAATGAATCGAGAGTGCAGCTTTCCTCTCTTCCCGAATCGAACAACTCCGAGAAATAGACGAACTCTGAGAAAAGCTGGCTCGCCAACCTCGAACTGAATATCTCGTCGATGCTGATCGGCTGAGGATTTCTGTTGACTCTGAGCTGTCTTGAGTCTCTGCCGGATCAGCTCGACCTGATCTGCGGTTTCCTCGATCATCTTTGGACCGAGTACTCGACGCTCGCCGACATCGTCCCAATAAAGAGGGGAACGACACTTACGACCGTAAAGTGCCTTGTAAGGAGCCATCTGAATAGAAGAATGATAATTGTTGTTGTACGCAAACTCAACGTAAGGCAACAACGACTCCCACTTAGCACCCCTGTCAACGACCAAAGCTCGTAACATATCCTCTAGCATCTGAATGGTCCGCTCGGACTGACCATCAGTCTCTGGATGGTAGGCTGAACTGAACTCTAACTTCGTACCCATCGCCTCGTGTAAACTCTATCTACTAACAAATCTGGGATCTCTGTCTGACACGATAGTAACAGGCACTCCGTGGAGTCGAGTGATTCCACGAGTATAAATCTCAGCCAACTTGTCCAAAGACATCCTCATCGAAACTGGTAAGAAATGAGCAACCTTAGTCAATCTGTCGACCACGACCCAAATAGCATCGTGATGTTCAGACGACCTCGGTAACCCCGTGACGAGATCCATCGTGACTTCCTTCCACTTCCACTTCGGAATCGGTAGTGGTTGCAGGAGTCCTATCGGACTCTTATGTTCGACTTTGACTTGCTGACAGGTAAAACATCTCCTGACAAAGTCGGCTACGTCCTTCTTCATCCCTCCCCACCAGAACGACCCTTTCAGGTCATGATACATCTTCGTGCTTCCGGGATGGGCTAGATAGGGTGCAGTATGAGCCTCTATCAATATCTCCTTCCGCAACGCCTTGACTTTCGGCACTACAATCCTGCCACGGAATTCTAAGGCACCATCGTTACCTCGCTGAAAACCCTCGACGCCTCCGGCGCGGACTTTGGCATCCATGACATGAACGAACTCGTCAGAAGGCTGCTCCCGCCGGATTCTCTCTCTCAGCATCGGCTGAATCTGCATGGCACTAACACTCCCCGAAATGGCTGTGGGAAGTGCATCAACCACCTGAACCTGCATGCGGGCGAATTCCTGAATCAACTGGCTCTGCTGAGTAACGACGTACGTCAAATCACCCCTCACCTTACGGCTTAGGGCGTCAGCAACGACGTTCGCTTTCCCTGGATGATACTGAATCGAGCAATCGTAATCGTTGACGAGCTCTAGCCAACGGCGCTGTCTCATGTTTAGCTCCTTCGTAGCGAAAATGTACTGCAAGCTCTTATGATCTGTGAAAATCTCGCATCGACCGCCGTACAGATAATGTCGCCAAATCTTGAGAGCATGAACAACTGCGGCTAACTCCAAGTCGTGCGTCGGATAATTCTGTTCGTGTGGCTTGAGCTGACGTGACGCATAAGCAACGACCTGGCCATCCTGCATGAGTACGCATCCCAAACCCTGTCTCGAAGCATCACTGAAAATGGTGAAACTTCGGGAAGGATCGGGAATAGTCAACACCGGTGCTGAAGTTAACCTCTTTTTGAGCTCCTGAAAGCTCGACTCACATCGGTCAGTCCACTCGAACTTCACAGACTTCCTAGTCAGCTGGGATAAAGGGAGGGCAATCCTGGAAAGCCCTCGATAAACCTGCGATAATAGCCAGCTAGACCGAGAAAACTGCGAACCTCAGACGGACTCTTTGGTGTCGACCAGCTCTGAACAGCTGAGACCTTGGAAGGATCTACCTCGATACCTGCCTGAGTAATGACATGGCCAAGAAAAGCTACTCGCTGGAGCCAGAATTCGCATTTGGAGAATTTTGCA